ACTATTTTTCATATGGCATAATTTCTTTTAATGGTCAATTTATTTTGGATAATAATTAGTATACCTTCCAATTCAACATATTTCACAATATAATCATTTAAGAAATTATTATTTTCAAATGAATTCAATGCAGGAAAATTTTCAACTTTAGAATTTAATTGTTAAATTAATAAGTATTAGTAAATATGTTAAATCAAAAGATATACCAATTATTTTTCATTTATTTTAAGTACATTGACAATTTTAGCGTCTTACATTCTTAAATGTAGCTTATATATTGAGATTCCAACCAATTCATGTTGGCTATAAAATACAATCTTAAGTATGAATTGGCTGCATGATGATGTGCATTTTATATGCTTCAATTTTAGCTTTTAGGTAATTTATATGCTTGAATTTGAAGTTATAGGATCAATGTGTTCATCATGTCGAAGATGGAGGACAAGATGCCAAAATTTATCATTGAGAAAATAGCCATTTGGAAAAAGAATCTAGACATGGGTTAAGTATCGACACTAATTTGCTAGACGTCGACACCATAAGCAGTTTTCCAATTGTATTTCATTGGGATCCATTTTTGCCGCATAGGATAGAAATTATTAGATAACAGGGCATTTAACCGGAGTTGGACGGCGTTAAAGGAAAGATTGACCGTGTTATAACTTCCTTCAACAGAAGAATGATGGTTGGCTTTTTATTCACTGTTGAGGATTATCATAATCTCTTTTTAGATGAAGGGGTGATAATGACTCTTTTTGTAAAGTTTAGAGATTATTAATGACATTAAACCTAAAAACAAATTAAAAATGAGAAAGATACATTGAAATATATATAAGAAGTTTGGAATAAGTAAAGCTTATTGTCTAATTTTTTTTACATTAACTGATAATCAAAAATCACATATTCTTTAAAAATAGAAGAAATACATATTTTTCTTTCATTACTAACTTTTAAGAAAATTTATTTAATTTTACTTTATTTTTATAATTTGACAAAAAAAAAAAAAAAACAAAGAGGGCCTTACCAGTTACCACCAGCCAAACATGGTAATTTACTATTTAGCCATTAGGGGTAGAATTATTGTCTTGGTTGCATAATTTCAGCCTTTCCCGCTGGCCAAGACCAAAAACCCAAAAGCCAAAGCCAAAGCCCGCTCACGAGTTGTTTACCCGCTTCTTTCCTCCCCGCGCTGTTATCTATCAAAATCCCCAATTATTTTTTTTGATTAAATCCTCATTTTGGTTTCTGAACTATTATAGAAACCTTCAATTTGATCCTTAAATTAAAAAAATTTTTGATTTAATTCTTAAATTATTATACAAACCTTCAATTTGGTCCCATTATTTATAATTTGACCTAATTTGGTCTTTAAACTATTGTACGGACCCTCAATTTGATCCTTATTATTTACAATTTCACCCCAATTTTGTCCTTAAGCTATTTATTTAACAGAAAGACTAAGTTGAGGCTAAATTGGTAAACAGTAGGGATTAAATTGGAGATCTATATAATAATTTAGGGACTAACTTAGGTTTCGTACAATAATTTAAGGACCAAATTAGAAATTTCTCTAGTTTAAGTACCAAATCAAGGGTCCATACAATAGTTCAGGAACCAAAATAGGGATTTAACATTTTTTTTTAATATTTTTTTGCTCTCCACCAAAATCCCCAATTCAAATCGACCAAACAAACTTCGTAAAATTCAGTGCCATCAATCTCAGCTGTTCTTTCGAAACCCCGAAGTTAGGGTTTTAGCAAGCTTGGTTTTTGCTCCATGGCTAGCGAAAAACTAGAAGGGGAGAAACCGGAGGAGGAGGCTCCTGTTGGTTCTAAAAAGGAGCTTAATGTAAAAGAACCGAAGGAAGGGAAACAGCAAGAAGAAGAACAAAAAAGTCAAGAACTTTCACTCAAAGACGCATCCGGGGAAACCGAGGAACCTGAGGGAAAGAAAGAAGTTGAAGAGGAAGAGGAAAAGAAGGTACAGGAAGGTGGAGGAGAAGGGAATGCGCAGGAGGCCAGAGAGGAAAAGAAAAGGCTGGAGGCTGCAGAGGAAGAGGAAGTAGACGAGTACAAAGCGCCGGCGGCTGAAGATGAGACTAAAGAGGAAGATAAAGTACAGGAGGCCGAAGGAGAGGATGAAGATGGTCAAGAGAAGGCCTCAAGGAAAGTAAGGAGAAGTACCCGGAAAAGGATCTCTAAGAAAGAGAAAAATGAATCAAAGAAATGGAGTCAGGAATCAAATGAGGAGCCTGTTACTCCAAGCAGTGATAGGCCCACGAGGGAGAGAAAGGTCGTTGAGAGGTACTCAGTACCATCAGTTGCCAGGTCTTCTTCAAGCAAAGCCTTGTCGATTGAGCAGGTATTCTGGTGAAAGGTTTGACTTTCCTTCCATTTTTTCTTTTCTGTTTGGGAGCAGGTTGGAATGATATTTTTGCATTGTGATTTTGGTTTTAACTGTATGTGTGGATTTGCATTGCTGCAGGGTTGTGGCACACAGCTTAAAGACATTCCAAGTGGTATGATGTTTTCTTTTTTTATGAGTCAGGTGGTATTGTTTAGTAACTCTTGTCATAGTGGTTTCTTTATTAATTTTAAGTTTTCTGTTTTCTGGTATTTTAGACATAAACTGCTTTGTTTTTGGCCTTCGACATAAACTGCTTATCTAGAAGTTTTCTTTAATGAATGAGCATTAATGCATCCTATTATTTTAGCACGGCATTGTTTTAGTGTTAATGAATGAGAAGCATGACATAGGTGCTTTAATCTAGATTTTTGTTAAATGTTTGACACTGTTGTATCTTTCCTTGTAATTAGTTTTTTCATATATTGCAAATTTTGTTGTCTTTAATCAATTTAGATTTAGTTTATTTGATTGAACTAATTGTTACATGATTTCCATGTGGAATTTGGCCTTGTGCACCATAATTTGAATTTGGATAAGTGAAGCACAGGATAAGTTTGTGTGAGTAGTTATAGATCTGCAGTTTCTAGAACTTATGTGGAATCATTTTTAGCATTTTTGATAATGAACCTGATCATTTCTTTATCTCCTTGCTTTTCTACTTTTGTTTTTTTGCTTACACAGCAATAAGCCTGTCTCTAGTTTATTGCTGTTTTGCTATATAGGGTGGCATGTTTTCAGTTTCTGTGTTTAAGAAACATTGTCTATTTGTTTTCATTTTTCTTGTTTATAGCCATATGATGCAACATAGTGGTGAAATGAGTAAAAAGATATTGGTAGTGTTACATGGTTGAAAATTCATAAAAAATATTGGTGTTTGGCAGAAAGATTCTCTTTCCAGCTTTCAATTCATTTGATTCCCTTTATTTTTTATTATTTATGACTAATGCCTTTTGTCATTAATAACATGAACTATTAAAACAGATTTTCCATTCCTAATATTACTATGAGATAATTGGTTAAAATTCCTACCGTCTTTCCAACTTACCTGCCTAGACATTATTATACTAGTGATTGAAATGAATGGTTGAATGCATTAATATATTACTTTTAGTTCTGGTGATAGTGTTTTGAAAATCTAATAAATCAACTTTTAAAAACGTGCTCCTTGATGCTCACATTCTATAATTTCATTTTTCATTTAACTCACAAGGTTGCCCTGGGCATCAAGAGGCATGATTTCAAAACCCTTTTTTAATGGCAATTATAGATGCTATGTTTGTGTTTTATATGTATATTAATGCTGTTTGTGTTTTACATGTATATTAATGCTGTTTGTGTTTCATTTGTATATTAATGCTGTTTGTGTTTTATATGTATATTAACGCTGTTTATGTTCAACTTCATTGTACAGCAAACTGGCCTGTATTTTCTCTGATATTATAAACTGTTTCAGTGGCTTTCAAGTTGTCGAAGAGAAAACCTGATGATAGTCTTCAGATGCTTCATATGATACTTTTTGGAAAGAAAGGAAAGGTAACTACTAACCATCTTGTTATTCTCTTTCTATTTTTGGTCTTCTATATATTAATTTAACTTTATCTTTTGCAGGCTCATACTTTAAAGAGAAACATAGGCCAATTTTCAGGTTTTGTGTGGGTTGAGAATGAGGTAGCCTATCTTATGTTCTTTAAATTCTGCTTAATATTTTCTGTTATATATTTTTGCATGGTATTCTTATTGTTAGTGAAGAAGCAGAATTAGTTAATCATATAGTGTGTTTCATAGCTTTCATAAGCTTTTAATGTTGCTGGAAACTATTTTAGCTTATTTTGATTCATTTCTTTGATCAGGAAAAACAGAAAGTGAAAGTAAAGGAAAAACTTGATAAATGTGTTAAAGAAAAATTGTTGGATTTTTGTGATATTCTCAATGTTCCAGCAAGCAAGACCACAAAAAAGGTAAGTAAAAAATGGACACTCTTTTTATCGCACACTGTTTGTTCTATCCTCTATTTCAGAGGTTTCAATTATGTCAACATGAATAAATTTAGGCAATATGATAACATTTTTTCTTTCTTATCTATCCTTGTTCTTTTACTAGTTGATGGACTACTAGCTTGTATTTTTAGGAGGAAATTTCTGTCAAATTGTTGGAATTTTTGGAATCTCCTCATTCTACATCTGATGTTCTGCTAGCTGAAAAGGAGCAGGTACTCTGTTATTCCTTTTATTTTTGCATGTTATAGACTTACACGGGAAAAGTGTTTTAATTGTTCTGATGGTTGTGAATTTTATCTTTATCTTATCTTGGTGTAGAAAGTTAAAAAGCACAAGGTCACACCAAGCAAGAATATCAGCCCTGGAGAATCATCAGGTTCATTAGCAATGGTTTGTCTCTCTCAGTGGTATTCTTTTATGCATAACCATCATGCACCAATGTGCTTGTTTAGCCTTGATTTCTATTCTTTGAACTCCAGTGCAGTGATTTTCTTGTTTGTTTGCAAGTCTGTTTCATGGTACGAAGTTTTGCCATACTGTCGTCTTCATTTTACCTCTATGTATGTCATTGGTTTCAAGATTTGTTATTAGATGCTATTTCCATCTGGAAATTTCTTTAGATAGTTCAATGGCTTGATATAATATTGTAAAATTACTTCTTTGCTGATGTTATTATTTGATTTGATTTTGTAAGTCTGATTATTTGTCAAATAGAATGCTAAAAATAATCTTAAAAGTTTGTTGCATATGCCAATGGTCATTGATTGATTAGGGTCTGTGATGCTTAAGGGGTGGATTGAAAAAATGATGCTGTGTGAAAAATCATGCTGCCAGTTATATCTTTTTACCATTGCACTAACTATAGTGATCCCTTGTGTGTGTATGATCTATTAGAATTTTTACAAATTTCTACTCTTTATTTCATGTTGCTAATACCAGGCTAATCTCTTGCCCTCTTTTAATGTAACAAGCTTAATGCTGCAGTCCTGAATTCTTTGGTTCAGTAGATTGCTTGGAAATGTTGTCACCTGAAGTTGGGTGGAATTCCTTTATTCTTTATTATATAGTTGTGCTTCCTTGTGTTACTTGCGAGGAATCCTCACTTTTCATGAAGGCATTAAAATTTCTTTGATTGTTGACTTAGCCGTGACTCATTTGTTCCCCTTATAATGATCAAAAACTAGCTAAATCATCTTGGATTCAAGGAATAAAGGGATTCAGATTGGTCATTTTTCTTTTATTCTCCTTTTTTTTTAATTTCCCTCCCTTTTTTCTTGCACTTGAACATCAGAATGATTTGTCATTGTTCATTTCCCATGGCACCTATAATAGTTGATAAGTGGATTGTACTTTCATAACCAAGGTCAACAATAATAGATAATGCATGGGAAATCTTCTAGTGTATAGAATGCTAACATAATGATCATGTTATTGTTGTTGTGTAGTCTGTCTGGCTAAATGATATTAAACACTGATGAATCCATTGGTTTCTTTGCTACTATACTTTTGTAACCCACAAACTATCCCTCCTCTATAGAAGTTTGTGTAGATTTATACTTTGAGTTGGCTTTCATCTACATGAGTCAAATTTATTGACGTCTTTGTTTTTGTGAGTCCAAACTCGCTATTAGATATCTCTTGTCTGTACTGATGATGCAGGGAAGGTAGGGGTAGAACAAGCAGACACTAAGAACTCCGTAAAATTAAAGATGGAACCAAGAAAATTTAGGTTTTCAACCTCAAGTTTGTTCTCAAACTAAAATATCATAACAAAAACTGATTTAGAGATCTAAAGATAACTATATATACTAACAATAGCTAAGAATCCTAATTCAATTCTAATGTGAACTTTTAATAAGCATTGAACTTCTAATAGGCTACTAATTCTAATCCTAATTAAAAATGACTTTCCTAAAATTACAACTTAGATTTCAAATAAAACTCAAAATTAATGCAAAACAAACAGCCCTAAAACTAATCATTAAAAAAAGTTCTATGCTCCTGCATCATTCTCCCCAGGTTGGAAATTGTGCTAGGTTCAAATTGAAGGTCTTGTTTTTAGCATATTTATCTGGAGCAGTTTTCTTCCATAAAGTTCTCCAAGAATGTCGCTTAAACTTTACAC